CAAGTCATGGTCCTTCCAATTAAAAAGCAAGAGCAAGGAATAACTACCAGAGGGACAGAGTGTGCAGCTGCTTTATTAGGCATGCCCCAAAAGGCGTAATCCTCCTTCCTCGGCCTCCCAAGTAGCTGGGACTACAGGCATGCACCACCATGCCCGGGCCATTTCTTAGATTATATTTATTTTTCCTGGCTGACTCTGATCGTGAGTCATGACATGTTTACAAGATGTAGACATGAATTCTAATGAATGCTGGATGACAGTAGATGTATGTTTCATTCAGTACCTGTTTCTGCAACCTGGTTTATGTGGGATTAGTCAGGATACATATTTTTGACACCCAGATTTCACTTCCGCTTAACCAAAACCATCAGCTGGGCAACCCAGTGTGCGGGACAGGACAGAGTGTGAGATGGGTGGTCTGACCTGGCTCTAGATCCACCTCTGCCACTAGTTATCAGAGTGACCATGAGAAAGCCCTGTAAGTCCTCTGGGACTCAGTTTCCCCATATGACCTCTAAGATTCCTTTTTGCTCAGACATCCCATAACATGCTATTCTGGATTCAACACCCGTCTAGGACTGTTAATCTCTTCATCAGGAAGCTAGAGTAGCACCTGAAGTATTTGAGCGTACGCAATGTGTTCACTCTCAAATATAATGTTTTCAGTTCTCTAAATATTAATAAATGGCCTTGGACTAATTAATCAATTGCTGTCTCTGAACTAGCTTGTCCCTTTTAATTATTTCAGAATAGATGCCTTTTGTCCATTTACAATTTTCAAAGCACATTCAATATGCATGATCATTTGGACCCTAACAACATTCCTGTCACACAGAGAAGGTGCTGTTGTCCCCATTTCATAAAAGGGAAAACAGATGTTCAGAGGGTTAAGTGAGGCACTCAAGGTCCCATGATAAATAAATGGCAGAGTCACACCTGGATGCCAGAGTTTAGACGATCAAACCTTTACTTTTAACAAGAGTGAAGTGAAGAACACGTCTTCACGTTGATGAAACCCTTCCTCCTCAATACCTGCAAGAATGTGGCCGGTCACGTTGCAAAGGCGCTGCTTGGTCACCAGCAGCTCTTCCTCTGCTTCCTACACCAGCAGAACCCCCTTTTCCGCTCCTCGTTCTCCCAACACTGTGGCTGCTCAGCGCCGGGGTCCGTACCCCAGGCGAGGCCTCTGTTTCCACACAGCCTGGAAGAGCAAGCACACAACCCGGAAGAGCACGCGCACAGCCCGGAAGAGCAAGCGCACAGCCCGGAAGAGCACGCGCACAGCCCGGAAGAGCACGCGCACAGCCCGGAAGAGCACGCGCATAGCGGCAGAGCGGCCTATCCCAGGGAGTCGCGCTCAGCCTTCGTGATTCTGGGTCCCACGTGGGGCTCCTCTGCAATTCGACTGCCCCCTGCGACCTCCCTCCTCATCCTAGATGCTCCTTCCTTCTCAGCCCCCCACTTCTAGAAGCGGGTCACACTGCCGCTGCCACTGCCTGGGCCTGATGAAGAGCTCTCTCACCATCCATCAGGTGGTCTGACAAAGACACATTGTCCAAGGAAGAAATACCCCTGAGGCGTGTTTTACCATAAAAGATTGCCCATCCTCTGTTGATCCTTAGTTACCCAGTCAGCCAACTATGCGGCCACCTGGCTAGGGGCTTTCTCTTCTCTTTCAGCTAGAAGGCTCTTCTGAACGTGGGAGTCTCACCGTTCCGTTTTGTGTTTGGGGGGGCGCGGGGGATGGTGCTTCACTGCCCGTGCACCAAGGATAACACCTCAGAGACTGTCAGCCCTTCCTCTCTAGCACTGATTCTGCTCCCGATGCCAGGGTTGTTAACCTCTGTGCACATTCACGAGGCTTTCCGTAGCCCACGCGTGTCTGAAAGTCTTCTTCGCAGAAATTATCCCCCTAAATGTACATCCCCTGCGTGCAAACTCTGGTGCATTCCAGAAGCACAAGAGGATTTCAATGGGCAGTGTTTCACAGGAGATATTTTTAATATCCAAATAACATTCCGTAAGAAGAAATTTTTTAGTCATTTTAACTTAGTTGAAAGGCTTATTTTGGGATAAGGGCCTCATTTAATCTTCTCAGCTTGAAGTATTCTACAGCTACTGTTTACAGCAAAAGTAATTTGCAAATTCTATACAAAATGCCAAGTAAAAGTAGGATTATTGGAATGTGTTAAGGCCCACTAATCTTACTATTATGGGATAGAATAGATGAAGACATAAAAAAAGTTTTAAAAATTTAAAAAGATACAGCATTTGTAGAATGATCTGAGGCTTCTTTTGGAGAGTACACGGAATGCTCCCTGGAGCCTGAGAATGAAGGTGTTAAAGTATACGGAGTTTTTCCTCTGCATCCCATTTGTTATTCACCCTGCCCATGTCTGGGCATCATTTGTATATTGAAGATTTACAGATAGTTTTTCTCATCTAACTCAGAGGGGATGTTATCGAGTTTGGATGACTTCCATAAAACAGACTGGGACAAAGGCCAAGGTGTCAGTTCCAGCTGGCACCAGGCTGCTTCCTCCTTCCGTGCCCTGTGATGCAAAATGAGGCCTGCAACTCCACAGACTACTAAGGACAGGAGTCTATGTGATGCTAAAGTTTCTCAGTCTCTGAGTAGCATGTTTCCAAAATAAATCAATACATTTTATTCACAAACATCTAGGAATTGAGTAGCTTCCAGATTACATGAGCTCAATGTCTTGTGCTTCACTGCCCAGGTACCAAGGATAACCCTAGGAACGTGTACCAAAGCACCTCATCCGTTGGTGCATCTGTGGCACATACAGAAGGATTACAGGACTCTTCCTCCAGTGCTCCATTCACAAAGGCTGGCTTCCTTTTCCATTCCTAAATTTATCAGTACAATCTTGGGAACACACTTAATTGTGACCTATTTTGACCCAGTCATACATTAGGCCTGCTAGTGGTCACTAGGGGAAAAATACCATTATTCAGGGCACTTTTTTTGACTTCTTCACTTGAAAACTTCCAAGCACTCAGAAACAAACCAAGAAGGGTAGAAGTTAAATAAATCTGCAAAAGAACCAAATAGTATAAAGTTAGCCAATTAGCCCAAATCAGCAATCAGGACGAGAAGAAACCTAATTAAATTCAACAGTCTACAAAAGGATGTGTTCAAACAATTTCCCTTCATTATGAATTCTCTAATACAGACACTTTCAATTTAACACAGGATACCTCAGAGGGGCACTTCTTTTCTGGGATCTTCAAAGTTATTTGAAGCTTCTTAAATGCCTATTTTTAAGGATTCTGAGCGAAATGAGTGACAGCCCAAGTTTCAAGAAGGTGAAGTGATCTTAGAGCCTACTGTACAATGTATGTCTGTGTATAAGAAGACTGCATGCAATCAATTTAACATTTTTGTATTTTTTCTTTTTTTTTTTTTTTAAATCACAAGTCGAATTGTGCGAGGCCAAACCCCAGAGAGTCTCTCGCTGCACAATGTTACGTTCTGCAGAGACCGCTATGCCGAATGGCAGCCAGCCGCCCAGTGCCCCGTGCCTCAATTTTCTGGCAAGGAACCCTCGGTAAGAATGAACCCAGGAGCTTTTAAAAATAACTGTCCCCATAGTTAAAATAGCCAGAGCTTTTATATGCTTGAAAAAAGAACAACCCACTTCACCACTAGACAAAGCCAACTCTTTAATAAGTGTGCTAATGGAGAAATCGAGTTACGGATAATTTTAAAAGAGGTTTACTACCAAAAGCACTCTGTTCAGCTTTGAAATGTGTTCTTCTACTTACCTTTAAATATGGGTGTCCGATATTATGGTAAGTCATAACAGCACAGGGATGTCTCTCCCAACATCCTCAGGCCCCATTCCCCTGCATAACTGCCTTCCAGTCTGACAATTCGTAGCATCACCTCTCAAACATAACGTTAAGTGATAACCAAATGAGACTCACGAGCTCCTCTATAAGCTTGCCTTCTCTCTTTCTACAACTTTTGGGATTGAAAAAATGTGGGTGTCAAATGTATTTACTTCTTGTTCTAATTAAGCTCCCTGTAACTGAAAGTATGCCAACATTAGCCAAGGAGAGACTTAATTAATTTGTGTAGATGATAATGTCCACAGACTTCAAAAGTAAGATTTCATGGCTATGTGGTAACCATTACATCTAGTGGAATAGGTAAATAGAAATATAATCCCATTTGGTCTCCTCAGGTATCTTAGAACAGTGCAAACCTTTGGGACAACTGGATGATCTATGAAAGAAAATAAATGAAGCCAGCAGATAAAAACTAGGAGGAGACAAGTGCCCAAAAATACGTATCATAAAACATGGGAGAACAGGATATAATAGTATATAAGTGGTGAAGATTTAGGAAATTAAGTCATCAACATAGGAATACAAACAATTGCCTTTTTTAAAAAAAATCCTCGAATACATTAAATTAAGCACTGGATTTTAAGGGTGAAACTACTAGGAGGAACATTTAAAATGGAGAGAACCAGAATAGATGTGCCCATTAGACCGTGGTTCTTTTAATGGCCAGTATAGATTGTCTCTGTCTTAAACTCAACTCTCAGTAGCCACTATCCAGCCTGCATATTAATGAAGAACATGAATGGCTCTCTAAAATTTTCAGCTATAGCATCTCCATAAAAAAATCAATACTCCCCCACGCCTCGTGAATACAGACCAGAGGCTGCTCCCGGCAGCGTATGCCGACATTAATTATCATGAAGCGGGGGGAATCTTATCCATTTCTCTGCTAACTCTCCCCTGCTGCACCTCCTTGCACACCCAAACTCACGGTGTCACTCTCTCCCATTATTTTTAATGGATCCTGATTCAAAGCGTGTGTGGGCTGTGCAATTGCTGCTTGGCTGAACTGTACAATGTTCTCTCCGATGTCTTATAGACACTGAATCCAAAAGGCATCCCGAGGACAAGGGAGAGTCCCTGAGCTTCACTGCACCACAACCTACCCGATCTTTGCAAGGCTCCGTTTCTACTTCTTTGCTTCTCTTTACTTCGTACATCTTCATGGTGCTTTTATCAATGAACATTTATCAATTCACCTTCGGTGGTGCACCACTCCCGGTGTTAGGACAGAGAATGCTTTGTACATGACCTCGTATAAACTGGACTGATCAAAGGAACCGACTGTACCTTGCAGTCCCTCTCTCCCCCACTTGTCTCACTCCTCCTTTCTACCCCAAACTCACGGACACCTCCGAGACTCCAGATTCCAGGATTGCTCATGCAATCAGTCTCAAGAGAAGCCTGGTCCTCCTTAGCCAAATAAGTACCTTCTTCATTTAACTGCAACATCAACAAATGATAATCGTAAAGCTGACACCGTTTTCATTACCAGGGAATGACGGTAGTGGTAAAGGGGAAAGCTTTAACTGAAGTAAGGTCAATTCAGCGAACTTCTGCCAAGTGGCTGTTACACGCTTGGCATTGCACTAGACGCAGGATTCAGAGACGTGGGTCCTACTCCAGGAGATCTTATTGTCTAAAAAAAGAGGCTATTCATAAACACACACATAAAATAAAATCAAAGCCAGCATGTTCTTATTTTCTGGTAGGAATGAAAAACCAGGAGTGAAAGTGGGGGAAACAAGTTTCATTGCTGCTGCTTTTAAATCAACATAGTTTTATTTCTAACATAAAACACTCACAGTCGTCTGACTTTTTGAGTATTTTTGAAGAAGAAAAAAATACAGCTAAGAATCCACAGAGTATTTTAGCATTAAAGAATCTTAGATACTAAATAGTTTTGCCTCTTTATTTAATAGATGTGGAAATCGAGGTCCCAAACAGTTCCAGTTTCTTTCCTCTGGTCACAAAGAGCAATCCCCTCAAAGCCACATCAAGAAACCGGAGCTTCTAACTCTGTGGCCATGAACTTTCTTCCCTACACTTTACGAAATTTGCTCTGAATCTCCGACCTTCCCCCAACATCCATTTTGTTAGCTTTCTGCAGCTTTCCACAAGCATATCCCCAACATTATCTTCACCTCTGTGAACAAAGCCAAAGCATTTAAGAGCTTGGGAGGGACCTAAATAATTTTCTTCAGCTATTTCCAACTTTACAAAACAGAAAATTTGAACATCATAAAGCCCAAGATGTACCCAAAGGCAGAGTGAGGGATGGTAGCCCCAAGACCAGAAGGCAGGTCTTCAGAGACCGAGTCTGAGATCCACTTTGCCACGTGCCCCTCCTGCTCTGAGGTGACACCTCCTTGTCTCGACTCCTTTTTGTCTATCCTGGTCATCACTGCTGGGACAGTTTCCTAATATTCATCTCTGGCCATATCTCTGCCTCATGCCCTGACTTCCAGGGGCTCCAGGAGTATCTCAGTGTAACTAAACTGGACCGTCTCCTCCTGGAGCAATGTACAAACTGGAGCACAGATAGAGCCAAGAATTAATAGCTTGCATTTTCCTTCTTGACTAGTCACAGAAAGAAAAACAATCCATTGCACTTCAGCAACATGGAAAAATCAGAGACCATGTCTGATTTGACGTCACCAAAATAAAGTGTGTGATGCCCAAAGCTTTCTAAAATGGGTGTGGAAGATTATTTGTAAAAGCATATAAAGACTATGTGAGTGTTTTTGCAAATATCTCCTTTAGCCCATATAGGAAAGAACTGCATTCTTGCTATCATTTCTGTAAATATCCAAACCGAGTCTTAAAAACCTTTCTTTGTGCACTTTCTCATTCAAGCAATGAGAGACCTAGGATCCAGTCCCTTGGCCCAACCCCATCCTTCACGTGTGCTGTTTCCTGGTTCTCCCTTACCCTGACCATCTTTACCATCTCACCTGCAGCCTAGGTGAACAAAAGCTTCTGTTCTCTTTGCTGTGCTAAACTTGCTGCTGAACACCACTGAGGCAGAAAAGAACAAGTGGGTCAAATTGCTTTGTGTTGTGGACATAAATCTATCCTTCGTCAGGCAAACAAGAGGCTCCCCAGGAAAAAGGCAGACAGGGTTGATGCAGGTGATAAGAGGTACCATGAAGAGGCCCGGAGATAAACAAATAGAAAAAGCAAGAAAGGTAACTCAAAAGAAGTAAAAATAATGCCAAAGGGTTTGTGACCTATCAACAGAAGGGACAGAGCCGGATGACTGGTAAGGGAGCAATGACTACAGACAGAGTCAGCCGGCGTGGTGAGCATCGGAGTTCCAATGGGACACGCTTCCTGCTCCCAAGACGCTATTCGAGGAGCAAGGGCACGATGGATTTAGACTAACAAGGAGGAAAGTTAGGGACAGCATGAACAGGCTTGAGTTCTAGCGCTGGCTCTCTGGGATCTACCTATCTTTCAGGCGACTCAGACTCATTTCCAGAATGTCAGGTTTTTTCTTCTTTAAAGGAAGAATTTGACTCAGTTTCCAAGAACTGAGGTTCAGTGGGTTCGTGAGTCTCTGATGTTCTGTAAAACAAGCCTCAGCACTAATTTTAATGTTGGACAGAAAGAAGCGAGATTCTCTGGTGAATGCTTGAGGGAGGCAGCCCAGGGTTCTAGAAAGAACGCAAGCGGGGAGATCAGGCACGTCCGAGTTCACATTTTTACCAGACCTCTTATCATAATACTTTTGTGAACCTGGACATTTGATCTGGCTGAGTCTTAGTTTCCTCTTCTGTAAAATAAAGATAATATCGTATGCCTTACGGGATTGTTCAGTATCAGACCTAATATAAGTAAGTCAGTCTTCAAAAATTTTAAGTTCCATTCCTTCCATCTTACTGGAGGAAGATACCTTATGTTGTGCACAACACCTGGTAACGAATAGCTTGCTGGAAAATTGATCATCCGTAATGCAGATTATACTCATAAGAAGTTAACATAGCATCTGATTTATTAAGAATAGAAATTTTCACTGTCATAATTCTCCAGCTAATTGTCGAGCCTTTAATTCTGATTCCGTAAACTTAGATTTAAGGTACTAAGGAGCTAACTTTATATTTTATCCCAGATAACATTGGTTTTGTGTGTGTGTGTGTGTATGTGTGTGTGTGTGGGTGTGTGTTTATTCAGGCAGACTTCCTAGCTGTGATGTATTGTTAGCCCAAAAAATTGCTATTTGTAATTTTTAAATTTAATTTCTCATGTCCTATGTTGATTGAGTAATGTAGCTTTGTAAGCCTTTGACTTTGGCTGAATTTGGGAGCATTTATGACCCTATCATATGTAACATAAACATCAATCTGCTTTTTTATTTCTTTGCAAATTCAATTATTTCTAATTACATAGAGGCATCATTGATCAAGTAAGCATAAAAACCAATATAGAAGAGTTTAATCTCTTAAATAAGCTTGTAGACTTCAAGGAATAATTGAATGCTATAGTATTTAATACAAGGAGACATCTTTGTTGTTGATAACTGGCCCAAAGTTAAAGGAAAATGTCTAAACCCCATCGTCTTATATATTGATTTGGTTCAAATTGAAAATATTTGGATTCTATTTTCATTTCCTTTTCCTCTCTCTCTGCTACTCTCTGCAGGCTTGGAAATGGGTTTTAGGCCCTGTGGTCTTGTATGCATGTGAAAGAATAATTAGGTTCTGGCGATTTCAACAAGAAGTTGTCATTACCAAGGTATGCGTGTAGCTTTATGTCTGAATAAAAGCCTGAGTGTAGATGAAAATTTTTTATTAGCCCTAGTTTTTAATTTGCCATTTTTATTGCAGAACTGTCTGTAATTTAGAGGCTCATCTTCTGTTCTAATAATTGCTTGTATCCTGAGCATCTTTTAGTGTGACTAATTCTGCTGAAGACAGGGATCAGGGCTCTAAGACGGGTACGCAGAATTCTGATAAGGGTGTGTGGAACAGCACCAAAATTACCTGTATTCTCTGTATTCCTGTTTCTTTCTAGGGGTGAAAATCAGGGGGAGCGAGTATGCTTTACATTGGGCATAATAACTTGAAGGATAATCACTTCCTTCACCACATAAAGACACGAATTTTGCAAACATGCAAATAATATACAGATATTTCCGGTGCACACACTCTCACCTGGGACTGCTGAGCAGAGAACAGGGAAGCCATTCACAGAAGCGGAGAGGGAAACTCTACCCTCAGGAGCAGAGCACTCCTGGGAACATTTTCCAATCTTGCTATCCATCCCCACATCTGAGTTTTACCTCATGCTGGGGGAAGGTGGGAATGATGGACCAAGACCACAAAAGCAAGTCTAACAGACTGAAAAGGTGCCAAACACTCTTCTCCAGTTTTTTAAATGTCCAAGAAGACATTCTCTGCTAACCAAACCTATACCACTTTGCTAGTACAATTTTGACAGAATACTATATCTCCTTAACTGTCTTCATGAAAGCAGAAGTATAGAAATTGCTTCATATTTCTGCTTTAAGCTGTTTCTGTGTTGCTGTTTTTAAGTTAAGCACCAAAGGATGTCAGGCTACATCAAAAGCCAGACTAAAACTCCTGGAAACCTACTAGAGCTGTTACTAGGGAGACCATTTAACAGCAGTGTCAGAACAAATATCAGCAGGGAAAGGGGAAACTTAGAACTAATGATTAAAATGCTGTGAAATTCTCTTTTGAATGGAAAAATACTGTCACTGTATCTAGATAGTAGATTTTGTTTCTCTATACCTCTTATCAAAAAAGAAGCACAAGGGCCTGGAGAGATTTTTAAGAAAACAAGAGGGAACTCTAAGAAGGGAAATTAGTTCTTTCACTATGATAAACAGCAATTTATAAAGCTCTTATAAAAGCAACCAGAGCTCTTGCATAATGCTTCCCTACATCCAAAACTCACAGCCCAGGCAGGATGCCTGATAAGATTCAACCAGAACCCAAAAAACCTCCAAAAAGCAAAAAACTTCACAGTGAGTTTGGAGGTTGTTTTTCACTTAGCGTGAAGAAATATCAGGGTTAATTCGCAAGAGATTGAAAAAAGACGCAGATAATTGAAAAAGGTAACAAATTGTTCCTGGATTTTAAAAATAGGGAGATCACTCAAAGCATAACTAAGTGATATGCACGATATGCTAGCCTTCGTTCTCCTGGATTAAGCTAATTGTGCTATGAGAAGCTTGGCCACTTAAGACAGACTCATGCATTAAGTGCCACATTGCACCTGGGTGCAGCCACCCACATTCCAAACGTAGCACTCTGAAGGAGGTACATGTCATTCTTGCTGGAGTTGCAAACCCAGATGTGAAAATGGTGGCAAATCTCACTGGACGCTAACAGCAAATGGGTTATGTAAATTATACCTCAAAAAAGCCGATTTAAAATTTTGAACACCTTTGATGAAATGAAAGGTGTTTCTTATTTAACCTGAGCAAAAAGACAAACTCTCTTGCTCTAATGTAGGTGGTGAGCCACCCCTCTGGAGTCCTGGAACTTCACATGAAAAAGCGTGGCTTTAAAATGGCGCCAGGGCAGTACATCTTGGTGCAGTGCCCGGCCATATCCTCGCTGGAGTGGCACCCCTTCACCCTCACCTCCGCCCCGCAGGAGGACTTCTTCAGTGTGCACGTCCGGGCAGCAGGAGACTGGACGAGAGCTCTACTTAAGGCCTTTGGGGCAGACGGACAGGCCCCCAAGGAGCCCTGGAGCCTGCCAAGGTTTGAGCCCGTTTCTCTTGTATGTGTAAACCACAATATTATAAAAACTAACGTATCTTAATGCATCAACATGCTACCAAACTCAGCAATATCTTTATTAGATTGGGAGTTTGAGTCCATTTTTTAAATTTGAGAATCTATAGAAAAAGCATAATTTAGTAAACTTCCCAGAGAAGCAAGTACATTTCTGTAGAAAGCAAATTTTCCACAAAGGTAGGCAATGATCCAGGAAGAAGGAGTTGTTTCCTTCCCAGCTCCAAAAGCGTCATGTGGCTGACGACATGCAGCCTGCAATGAGGAAGACAACAAGGAAGAATATTTTTTTCTGTCACAGTCTGAGGTTTTTAGATTATATTTGTAAAGTCGGTAAAGTCCAGCCTTCATAAGAAGAATGCTGTGTTTCTGTGTCCTCTGCTTACAAAGACACTAGTCACATTGGCTGTAAGTGCCCACACTATTCCTGTACAACCTCATCTTAACATCCGCAGCCCTATTTCCAAATAAGGATCTGCGGCTTAGGACTTCAACACTTCGACTGGGGGACAAATGAAACCCACACCACCACCCCATTCAGAAAAGCCCAGGCACGTGACAGAAGTCCTGTGGAAATTACCACTCCTTGGGTCTTTTCAGTAGACAACGGCCTGAGGTCGATTCCCGCTCCTCCTGCAGGATTACCCAAAAGGGCACAAAGCTAATGTTTAGGGTTCCAGGAAAACAGGGACACAAAAAATAATGAGAAAATCACTTTGAAAGAATTTGATATTTTAAAAGAAGAATCAAGAGATTCCTACTTCTGCTATCCTTGGAGGGTACCAGGAACTGCCAAGCACTGCCATAAGAACTTTGGTAGGGGACACAGTAAGGACACCTTTAGAAGGGAAGTTCCCGAGGGCAGGATATTTTCTTTCCTCCTCTGTATCTCTGGTGCCTACGACAGTGTCTCACATGCCGTAGGAACAGAGGAATGATTTGGTGAAGGAATGAATGAATACCTGGACACGATGTGAGTTCTTTATTTTATTTAATTTGACAAATATTTATTGGTGACAAACGAGGTACCATAATAAATTTGCAGCACAGAATGTAATCAGCTTATTGTCGCTCTGTCCCACTTCCCATGGGCTACAGGGCTGTAACTATGGAGCACTGGGCTGGGTTGTGTTCAGTATGTAGGAAGAGCCACATGCTTTCGTTTCAAACACTGGTCTTAAAGAATGGTATGATTGATATCAAGCCAGGTATAAACAGCATCTGCTCAGATGGGAGCCCCAAATCAGATGACAGTGCCTGCTATCCAACTAAGACCTTTTCTTTTTTGATGGAAAGGAAGCAATGCAACAGAATCCTAAGGTTCAGAATATAGTGCAAATGCTTAAAATCAAGTATAAAAGTAGATACATCTTGCACACGCACACAAACACACACACACACACACACACACACACACACACACACACACAGTGTCCAACTGCTTTCCTGGTCCTGCCTTCCCCTTGGTGTTGCCAAGATGGAAAACCTCATCCTATTTGCTACATGGTTTCTACTGTGTGTATACAGTTATCTGGTCTCTCAACCACCCTTTCCCTTCACAAACTGGCTACCATTGCAGCCAATTCCCCCGCAAGAACTCAGTACCCATTTCTCAGTAGCTGATATGCTTTCTGCCTGTGGAGTGTGTCATCAGCCACAAGGCAGGACAGGATGTGGTCCCCAGGGCCTCCCAGTCTCATCTGCTCCACGTCCTGCTCCCATTTGGTCTCAGCTCTTCTAGCCTTCTTGTTTTTCACACACTCCAAGCATGCAGTCCTCGGTGCCTTTGCCATTGCTGTTCCCTTCACCTAGAATGCTGCTCCCTACATCTCTGCTTGGTGACTCCCTCCCTTCTATCAGGTCTCTGTCTGAATGTCTCTTTCTAGTGAGGCCTTTCCCTTCCTGCCCCATAGGAAACGACAACCCCCAGCCATCACTCAATAGCCACGATACCCCTTGCCTGACTTTCTTTCTTCATAGTGCTTACCACTGCCTGGCACGCTAAGTGCTTGCTTGTTCCACTACTGCCTGTCTCCGCACACTAGAATGTAAGCTCTATGAGAAAAAGGACTTGATCTGTTTGGTTCACTTTAGCATCCCCAGGGCCTAAAACAGGTCCTGGTCTTAGTAGGCATTCAGTAAATACTTAGTGACTGGATAAAAATGAGTTGTCATAAGTAGGTTAAGTTGGTTTGCCCTCTGCCTCTATATGTGTGCAGGCATTTGTATTAGTGGTAAAGCCTCCCAAAAATTAGAATTTGTTTAAATCTTCAACATACAAAGGATCAGAAGTTTACTGGACTGTCTAAGATGATTTTACAGGTCAGCATTGCTTTAATTTTGAATTAGATTAACCATATTGGAGACAGCACCGTATCTTTTTACTGCTTTGGACCCAGAATGAATTTAACCCAGCCCCAAGAATTCACGAGGCCAGGGGAGACTGAGAAGCCCAGGAGAAGTAAGCCTATGTGAAGAGCTCTGAGATCAGGAAAAAGGGAGAAAATGTGAGCTCTTTTCAAATGCAGAAGCTTCTGAAGTATTAATAAACTGGAGGAATTTCTCAGAGCTGATAGCGCTTTCCACAGGTTATCCTGCTCCAGCGTCAGAAGACCGGGCTTCAAAGCCCAGCTTGGTGTATGATCTTGGAGGACATATGTAACACCTTGCCTGAGTGTCCTCATCTGTGCAGTGAAGATGATAGTAGTAGTATTTAAGTCTTTGTTTAGGATTAAATGCAACAGTCCATATAAAGCTCTTAGCATAACGCTCAGCACGTGGTAAATGCTCAAAAAATGGTAGTTACTATTACTGTAAGTGAAGTAAGAAAGGTGGCCTGCCACAGAGATGACCATGGAAGTGATGGTGAGAGGAGTAAGCTGTTGTCAGTGCAGAGAAAGACCAGAGGGCAGCGCAGTCGGGGAAGCACTAACCACACCCAACCAGGAGCCGGCCGGTCCAGGAGTCCTGGACACTGGGAAGATGAGACATTTAAGCTGCATTGTTAGAAACTCCATATCTATAATAGATCAAGGCAGGGGTAGCTAAGTAAACTTATAAACAAAGAATTTGTGCAAAGGAAACTGATTCAGATTTTGAGAGGTCTTGAGGAATGTAGAGATTTGGTTCCATAAAAGGAGCAATTGGAGTGTCATGATAGCTACGATAACTTTTTAAAGGCCTGAGATGCAGAAAAGGAAAAAGACCTGGAATTTGCTTCTCAGGAAGACAAAAGGTGAGAGTTGTCCGAAGACAGATTTCTGTAAGACATGAGAAAAAAATTGTCTAATACTTAGAACTGTCCCTAAATGGGACAAGGTGTGCCCTGCAGTGTAGCATCAGAATATGGTGGGCTCTTGGGAGTGTGGAAGGAAGGATTATTGTATTAGTAGGAAAATTGGACTAAATATTTTCTTCTGTAGCTTTCAGTTTAGATTCTCAATTCTAACTGTGTAGAAATGTGTTTATTGCATATATTTCTGTGGATTATGTGACATAACTCTTCTTTGGGTTTAATTGATATTGTTTTACATCATTGTCAAATAAATCTCAAATATGACTAATTACAAAGACAATGAACAGTAAGACATTTTAATCCATGGACAGGTTTTTTTCTCTCTCTCAATGCCCTTTAATTATTTATAAAAATAACCTATGGTGGGCTAAGATACTAACCCTTTCTGGTTAATGACCTTTTATTTTTATTCTTCCATTTCCATATATCAGTATGTAATAAAGCCTTATTAATTAATATTAACTCAAAGAGAGTTAATTTGAATTATTCGGAAGTCTGGCATATAGAATATTTTAAAATAAACCCAATTGAACTTTCATGAACACATAGTAAAGCCCAAATGGGCCAACCTCGAACGCCTTCAACAAACACCCCTTAGGGAATGGTTATGAATAACTTAGACACTTTTTAATTAGCATATCTTCATTCATATGTAAATGGATGCTTTGGACTAGTTGAGGTTATTTAATACATTCTGCTGACTGAAATATTTTAAACATTCCCTTTACAATTTATTCAACCCATTGTTACTGAACAACTCCGTGTTGGAGGGCAGTGGGATAAAGCAGTGAACAAAGACAGACCTGCCTCCTACTTCTGTAGACCTTATAGCTCAAGACAGACACAAATCAAATCATGCATACACAAAAAAAATTGCAAAATTATACCTATGCTGAGGACTACAGAGGAAGAGAATGTGGTGCCATAAGTTATATAAAAGGGGAATTAACCTAGTCTAAGGGGTTCAGGAAGGCTTCCTTGGGAAAGGATGATTGGGATAAGATCAAGGAGAAGGGTAACTATTAACCAAGTAAGGAGAAAGGGGAAAAATTAAGGCAGTTTTCCAACTGAGAAGATCATCACATGCAAAGGCCCTGTGGCAGAAGCCAGCACTATGTATTTTAGGAAATGGAAGAAAAGCCAATGTGGCGAGCTGGTGAGGAGAAATGGAGAAGAATCCAGAGGCCAGTCCATGGAGGATCATCTTATTTCTTCAATGAATATGCTTTATCCTTATGAAGAAAAATTTGCTAAGCAAAGACAAAACATCAGTGCTGCCCTGGGCCTAATTACCACTGATTTAGAGTTAGCATAATCGAAAATAATGGGTTTTAGAAGTTCCACATAACTGACAAATTATTTCAAAATTATATTTATTACAAATGAATGGCTCCATTAGACTAAAATTATATAAACAAACTAAGATGTGTGACCAAACAAATGAAAACAGGGGAGAATTGCATTATGACAAGCCTCCTAAACCACCTTGATGCTTCTGCTTTCTTCCCTCTGATGGCAGCTGGGGGCCAGGGGCGGCAAGACCTCTTCCTCTATGCTTTTATGACACTTAGAGCCAAAACGAACTTCTAAGAACTATAAGAAGAGCAGGCCACATGGAAGAGGCCTGAGCAATATCTAGGTATGTCAGGCTTTGTCCTTCCATGAATGGCGCCCGGGCCCGGACTACCTGGCTATCTCCCCGTGAAGCAGGCCACAAAATCCTCATGCTAAACCCAAGCTTTCCAGTTAGGGCATGCGCAAGCACAGAGTCCACCTCTCTGCACACATTCGCAAACATGTCCTATAAAAGCACCAGCTCAGGATGTTTTGTGTTCAAAAGCAAGGTGTTCTGAAGGTCAAACAGGCTGCACTCTGTGATTCCAGGCTGGCGGTGGACGGGCCCTTCGGAGCCACTCTGACAGATGTGTTTCACTATCCGGTGAGCGTGTGCATTGCTGCAGGAATTGGAGTCACTCCCTTCGCCGCTCTTCTGAAATCTATATGGTACCAATGCTGTGATTCACAGACCCAGCTGAAGCTGAGTAAGGTATGGAAAAATCATTAGTTCACCCTTCCGTGGATTAAAAGGTTCAATGTCCTTATATCTATCATCTGTCGATTCTTGGGGAGGATTTTAATTAACTATGAGGGATAAATTCAAGGATCCTTAACTATACTTATGTTCTTAAAAATCTCCACTCGGTATTACATTTATGAGTAGGGTTATGTCTAATCTTGTTAAAGATGACAAGACATAAATTTTATTGCTTCATTGCCATTACAGGACATGTAATTGCTCATCTCAATAAAATATGGACAGGCTGCAAATGGCTATGTGACTGGGCTGTAGTTAGTGATATTAACAGGAAGCCTTCTCCTTAGTCTCTTTACCTTAATACCACGGTTGCAAGTGTGTAATTCAATGTCTTCCTTTGCTTTGGACTCGGGCTCTTAACAAGAAGCCATGATTGGGATGTTGGCCTGTTTATTTGATATTGCCATCCAATGGCCAATTTCCTTTTTGTCATTTCTTATATGCTCTCCAGCTAGATGCCTCCAGGGTTTCTTCCTCCTTTTCCTACCTCGAGACTCCATCCCCTTCTTTGGCCCTCCTAGGACCAGCAGCAGGCACTAGAGCAAGTAGGCCAGGAGCCCTGCTGACCCCGAGCAGTGTGAACACAGGAGGAGCCAGGACGCCAGGCAAGCGTGGTGCCAGTCCTGGTCCTGCCACTTCTCTGGTTGACTCTTTGGCTACAGTTTCCTCATCTGCCAAAGGGAGATGCTCAACTCATCAGCGTGTCCCAGTGCATGTTCTATGGGACACTTGTCACCTGACATGATCCACTAAAGGGAATTCTGTGGTCCAAGGAACTTTAGGAATGCTCCTACAACACCCCGCTCTAGAAGACTCATGTTGTCCACTAGCCTATTAAATAAGTCCTGCGGAAAAGAGCCTCATCGAGTTTTGCTCCTTCCCAAGCTTATTCAGCCACAGAACTTTTCTTCACCTGACACCTAGCAAGGAACAGTATTCTGTGAAGCACTGCAGACAATGCCAGACCAGAAGATCTCTAAAGTTAGGGCTTTCCCAATGAAGAAAAAAGAGTAAAATTGCTTATTTCATGAGTTTCCAAGTGACAGGTGCTTGACATATGTTTCTCATTTGATTTTTATAGTCTCCCCCAATAAACTTATAAAGTAAATAATACAAGGCCTGTTTTGCAGATAAGGAAACTGAAGCTTAGAGAGATTAAAGTGACTTTCCTGAAAATACATGGGATAATCCAAGGCAGAATCAGGGTCCAAACTCAGGTCCATATGGCTCTTTCCATGCCATAAGCAGCACACGGGAGACGTGACTCCCACCTCCTCCTGCAGCCCCAGTGTGGTACTATAGGAAGGCCACTGGGTTCCTGGTCAGAGAACCTGCCTGACTCCACCCTCGCTAAAAGGTAATGTTCAGTGCATCAGGTCACCTCTCCGAGCTGGGTTTCCTGACCCACACGTTGAAGAAATAAGAATCCGTATCCAACGGGGAGTTTTAATACCAAATAAGACAAATAGATGATGTGGAAAATTACTGTGCAAGTGTACAAAAGGACATACATGTTCATTATATCTGCCAAAGGTATAAATAGATTACTAGTATCACTACTACTAATAGCCTAGATTTATCAAGCATTGACTGCCTAACAGGTGGGAAGCTGGGCATTTTATAGACACTATCTCTTGCCATCCTTTTAAGGTACTTGCTATTTTTATTCCCATTTTACAGACAAGAAAACTGAAACTAGCTCACAAAACTAATAGGAATGATAGCATCATCTTATTGAACTGTCATAATAACTTATTCAGATAAGTAATATCCTCAGCTTACCAATGAGGACCCTGAAGCACAGAGAACTAAAAAAATATTAGAACTAGCATGTGAATCTAGGTCCTTCTGGGGCCAAAGCCCATCTTCTTTCCTCTGCACCATAATATGTTCAACAAAGCAAGCAAAAGAGCCACTGTTTTGGCTATTTGGACCTCACAGCATGCTTTGTTATGGTTTGTGATGCTTTCTCAGCCGTCCTAAGCTCTTCCTTCCCTCTTGCCGTCTACCAAATAAAAGCCCCTTAGGGAGGTGGCCCACTGCTTCCTGGTTTTCATTACACTAAAAGCCACATCATGCTTCACGTGGAGCCGATGGTGGATACGTGTCCCATGTTCAGTCATTTACTCTCCAAGCCAATATTTGTTGAGTCCCCTCTCATACTCACACGCGAACCTACCACTCTCCTCACACTCTGCCTAGAATAACCTCTCCCTTCTCTCAAGCTCCGTTGCTTCTTTGCTGTCCTTCTGTTACGTCATCTATCTTTCTCTCCTGTATTAAGATTCACAAACAACTTTATTTCCCTAGCAGACTGTGAGCTCCTTGAATGTGATTTCTCTGGATATTTTCATAATAATGTATATATATTCTATAAGCATTGAATAAATCAATGAGTGAATAAATGTCTACATGCCCAAAAGAATCAACATTTGCTTCTGTATACTTTTCTGTAAAATTTAAGGCTACTAAGATAATTCATTTTTTATTTAACCAAAAAGACCATTCAGTAATTTTATAACTAAAATAGTAGATACCAATTATTTTACTACAAATATAGAGGAGACAATCTTAATACTGCCTCCTTTCTCACCAGACCATTGTTATTCGTGTGCCCTACTTGTGGGTTTTGTCAAGGCTGTTTCAGCGGGATGCCTAAAATCACAAAATCATAAAACAGGGACATTGGTCTGTATTCAAAAAAACAGAAACCATAGAGTAGGAAATAAAAAGACAATGCTTTCATAACTTGGACAAATTTGAGGGAATATTTGGACAAGACTCAGCTGAAAATAAAGGCTGGAATCATGGCATATGGGAAAGGCAGCCAAAGCATAGATCGTTAAGATAACTGAAAGGCCCTACTCTCCTAGCTTTGCCTGTTACCATGAAAGGCAACATATGTCCTTTGAGTGGGAGTGTATCTGTCCAAAGTCACCCAGCTGGTTAGCCACTGAGTCAGGACTGGAGAGGACGTTTCTGATTTCCACTTCAAAGCTCTTTGGGGAAAGAAGTGAAGTTTTCCTGCTACAGAAAGTTTGGACTGAAAATTACTCTTAAGATCCAATTCCTCGGAGTCTGCAAGCATGAGAACAAGTTTGGGAAGCTTCTGTCTTTTAAAGCAACTTTGTGTTTGTTTTGGTACAGCTTTCATTAGGTTCATGCAACTAATATTTGTCAGTGCTGCCCACATGCCTTGGAGATATAAATACCACTTCCACTAAACTGTCAGCATCTATGTAATTTTTAAGGTGCAGCTGAGCAAAGCAGCACAGATTGCATCTTCACAATTTTAGGTCTGGGCTATAGTTTTCAGATTTTTCTCTTTTGTAACAAGGAAAGGGGACAGCGGGGTTGGGAAACAGCATAGGCGCTTAGAGGTGGAATTTTAAGCTTAAATGGTTAACTGCAATTAGGTGGGATTTTCTCCTCCATGTGTAAAATACCAGTTGGCATAAGGCATACATTTTTACATACAAGCCTCAAGTTGCAGTAAAAAATTTGCACCAAAGTTTTCTCAGTTGTTAGCATGGCAGACTGTATCTTCTTTACCCTTCTCCTGTGCCTCATTATTCTAGAAAAGTTCTAAATAAAATGAAGGAGCAAAACCAGTAAGACGCTTTCCTTAGGATCATAAGTAGCACTTTCTGTTCGAAGCTGACATTTTAAAATGTCTTTATTTTCAAGACCTTTTAATTTTAAAGACATGGGGAGTGGTGGGGAGAAGAAGGGAGAGAAGTGGTCAGGAGGAGACATCCTGAGAACACAAAATAACAATAAGTAGAATGATGGCTTGCCGTGCTGAAAACGGACAAAGGTTGTATGTAATACATTAAAGAACTGTTTTCAACACAGAAATACGAGCCAAACTTCACCGCATCGGCGGCAGATGAGAACATTGTACCCCTGTGGGACGAGGGAGGGATGAGGGTGGCTGAGAATTCTTAGTGCCACAATACAGAGGAAGCCGGTTGCTGAGGGGTATAAACGCCCTGTAGCAATAAATGTCCTCCACCTCCTGACTAACGGGTATGATTAATTCTACATCACACTCAATTTGTGAAAAGAGCTCTTGAAAAAAAATTAGGACGGTTTGCTTGTGCAAACTGTCAAAATGATGAATGAAATAGGTGCGTGTCAATGGGGAGGAGGGGGGTGATTGCTGACATAAATAGATTGGCTCACACATTTTAGTTCTCCCTGATACCACAGCTGCGTAGACAGCACGGAGAGAACCGGCAACTGGAAAATTTGGTTCGTTTTCTTAACTGCATATGTAATCTTCAGACTACAATAAAATAGATTATAGAAAAACTGAGATAATCTAATTTCTTCATAAATTGTCTTCCTTCATCAGCTCAATAATACATAACCATGATAATGGGTATTTATAGTGTGTCCCATGCAAAATGGCCTTTAGGTTCTTAACCTAATACAATAAACAGATAATTCAAATAAAAAGACAGCACGGGCCGGTGGGAACAAGGAAAAGAGGCCAAGAAAGACAAAAATCCATACACTGCTTAAATATATGAATAAAACAAAGGAGGCCCTGCCCTCTTTGCTAATGAATGAAAAATGCATTTAATTTAATCTGTTTTGTTGGAGAAATTATTTACTTTCACTTTCCCTCACACTGGAGCTCTGGCTACTTCTGGCATCGATCCTGTCTGCTCACCGCAGAGCGCTGTGATCAATTGGCCTCCTCAGGAGGGGCCGCGCATCTCCTAAAGCAGCCAGTGCTTCTCCTGTTTCCCGGGGCAACCTCCAAAGGCTTCGGTACCCCACCAGGCCTCGCCATTGCTCTGTGGGGAGGTGCCCAGTATTAATATTTCTAATGGTTCATTATTCACATGACTACAGTCTTTTTATAAAAGAGTCAAATAAAACATACAAACATTGGAAAATCTGCCTTCATTCACCTCCCTCCCCAAACTAACCACCTCCCTGAC